AGAATCTCAGGAAAGAAATTGGGGGCTGTTTTCTCTAAGTGTGAAAACAAGGTCTTCAAATGTGAAGACTTCTCCCCTCTCATATGAGCACATATAAATGCTCAGAGCCCAGCCTGGAAAGGAAGACCAAGGTATTTGCCCTACCATTGCCTTGGGCTACCTATCAGGCAGAGGGCCAGGGGTCCCCACACCAGCACAGGGCTCCCCAGGGATACTGGGAGTAAGCTGGAGCTGGAGCATGAATGGAGTCTGTGAAATGGAACCTGTATCCCCACTAAGTCCTGCTGCTTCTTAGTCCCCAACACCTTGCCCTTTTCTCTCTTCCTTCCTGACCCCTTGGTGCCCAGGAGGATCCTCACGCTGATCTCTCCTCTTCGTTTCCACTGCTTGGCTCTTAAGACTCAGGCAGGTAAAATAGGATTCCCGAGCCAGGGGAGCTTTGGAGTCTGCCAGGTCTCCTGAAGGCAAGCCTGGGAGGCAGTTCTTAATAGATGTCTTTTCCATTCAACCCTCTGAGTGTCCTCATTAGGGCCACAAATATATACAGCCCAGTTCCTCTGTATACAAGTACATGATTTTATATAGCTCAGTCTGTAACCCTGTGTGCCAACATGAGCCATGTTTCTTTGTAACACATATTTTTGTTTTAGGAGCCACTGACCGTGGGAGGTTATGTGTTCCTTAGACCCTGGGATGACACATCCAAGCCATTACTCCTCCGAGCCACAGAGTATACTCAGTGGGAGCTGTGCTTTGAGGCAGCAGACATTTCTCCGCTCTCAGTCCAGGCTCTATGCTCTTTGTACTGGGAAGGGATGACGACTTGGTAGCTTTATTAGAGTCACTTCTTCCCCAAGGTGTGGGGAGCTTTAGCTCTTACTTTGCTTTTGAGGTATCATCCCTTTGTTCTCCTCTCCTATCTGTCTTTAACCTGGATTGAGAGAGAGATAAATACTGACAGACACCAGCCCAGGCTACACAGGGGTATTTGTGACCAGAGTGCCAAAAGTGACCATTTAAAAGCAGGGACTTGGACCTGACATGACAGCGTGGGGCATGGAGGTGGAGGGCAGTAAGCACAATGTCCAGCAGAGGCTGCTTTCCAAGATGCCGGAGTCCTACTCTAGAGAGGCTTAGGGTCTTTTGCCCTATAGACCTTTCCTCTAGGTTTCATGTTCTTGTTTTTATTCAGGATGGGTTCCGAGCCCATCCAAAAACTCACCGTTTCAGACCTCTTAGCAGCCTCCCTAATATTCCCTCTGCCTCCTGCTGTCCTAGCAGGCAGTGCTCTGCGCAGTGACCTCCTTTCATCCATGGAAATAGTTGGTGTGGACACCTCACCCCACCTAACCTGAGTCACCACCACTAAGAGGATGACTGAATTTCAGCCTGATTATGCCCTTCCACACTTCTGCGAGGTGAAGCCAAGGGCCTGTCTCTGTTCCTGTTTGTTTTTAAATATTGTTGTGTGTTTTGTATCTGTGGCGCTGGCTTGCAGCGTGCTCTGTACATATTGTAAAGAAGCCGTTTGAAGTAATTTTTCCCATTGGGCAGGCATGGTCTGCATTCCTGCCCTTTCCACTTTGTTCTGTAACATAGAGAAGAGGAAATTCTGTAATAGCAGGGCAGCCTTGGGGTCTACAGAAGGAAATAGCTTTTTTTTTTTCTCTCTCTTTTTTTCCTTAAAAACCATTTGGCTCTTGGATCCTTATATCCAAGCTTCCCTTGAATAGTAGGAGCTGAGCTACCCAGAAAAGCAGGTAAAAGCCAATAATAGCAGAATGGCACTGCCTTTTCCTGATCCCTTATCCTCCTGGTCTCAGATCCTTGCCAGGTCCAATCTTCCTTCCCTAAAATAGCACGAAGCAGCAGGAGCAGCAATGGAGGAAACAGATCCTTGACGAGTGCTGAGTGAAGGATTTGCGTCCACCTCTAGCCTCTCTACATGGGGAGGAGGAACACAGGGGAGGGTACCTGTGGCACCCATGACCTGGTCAGAGGGGCGAGACACGAGGCAAGGACTCCCACTCCACCCCACCTCACAAGCAAAGGCTGGAAAAGGTTGCTGCTGAGGGCCCAGACCACCAGACCATGGCTTTCTTGGAGCCACCCCTGCCCAGGCCTCTGCTAGACATTACTCATCAGGCTCCCCACAGAGAGACTAGAAGGAGAGAGCCTCATCCCAGGTAGGACAGCCAAGGCTTGGAGAGCGGCTGCTCAGGATTCACATCCTCTTCTTCCTCATTTATGGTGTGTAACTACCCTTCATCCTTTTCCCTGTTGTACATGTGTACACGTATGAAATGTCTTTCTCTTATCGCACCCTCTACATGCATCTCAAGGTCAGAGGACCACATGCAGAAGGGTTAAAAGGGACTCCATGAAATGAAGTGGTGATTCTTGAATCTTTTCTCTCCAGGCTCCAGGACGGGTGTGGGAGGACTTGGCTTCAGGAGTGGGAGGGTAAGACTGTAGAAGGGCTAAGAGCTACTGTGTACGGGCTTTGAGGTCGCCCATGTCACGAATTATCCCATATACCCTTTCACCATCCCAATGTCTACTCTGATGCCCCCCAAGATTCCACTGGGCAGCTAGTTGGCCCCACAATTCTGGGCCTTTGTTATTCGTTTTATTATTAGGGCATCCCAGGAAGTTCTCTGATGATCCTCTGCCATGGACCCCTCCTGGGATAGAGCCCCTCCAAGCCCCATCCCAGCCCCTCCTGCCCCAGCCCACCCGCTTGCCTTGGTGCTCAGCCCCCCATTGGGAGCAGGTTGGGGCGAGCTGGAGGCCCGGGCTGGAGGGGCAGTGTTGCTGTTCATAGCTTTTGTTCCATTGGCGTTGCTCTGTTGGATTTATTTTCAGTCTTCCTGATTCTTCCCTTCTGTAAAGTGTACATTACCAAGTTCCTTGTTTTTTTATATATATATATAAATATATATATATACAAACTGTACTCTTTTTGCCTTTGTACATTTAGGCAAGAAGAGAAAAATAAATCTTTTTAAGAGACAATCACAAATCTGTGAGGGCTGCTGGTTATTTCTCCTGGAGTTTGCTGCTGAGCTGTTTCCTCCTTCCTCCCCACCTTTCTGTTCTCTCAGCATTCCTTATCTTTCTGGTCCTGCTCCATATGCATCCTCAGCTTCACCTTCCCTGGCTGATGGCAAGTTGTTGAATCCAATGTCCAGACTACCTGCCCTGCATTCCTCTCCTGCCCAGCAGTGTTTTCCAGCTTGGCCACTGCCTTATCCAGGAGCTTAACCTGTGCCCTGGCCTCTCCTGCCTTCCCCTTAGGTCCCATTCACCGAAGTGGCTTTGGACCCCTGGGTACTCTGGGACCTCTCAGAGACCCTGGTTTTGGATACTCACCTGTGAAACTGCAGCTAGGAGCTCTCTGCCTAAGAGTTTGCACTACTTCAACCTGCCTGGGAGTTAGAACAGATGGTTTTTTTAGAAAATGAGTAGGAAACTCCCCCTTAAAACTCCCAGGTTCCAACCTCCAGAGTGCTCTGATCCAGAGACCAGAAAATCATTCCCAGCTCGTGTACTCCAGTGGCTTCCCACCCCATCAGAACAAGCACTAAGGGTTTATGGGTCAAGGGCATTTGATCAGAATTTCAAAGGGTGGTGCATTTTGAAACCAAATTATTGTTCCACCTCTTGAACTTTCTCCTTTGCCTGATTTCTCCTCCTCCTCCCCCTTTCTCACTGCTTCCTTAATTGGCTTTGGAATTGAAATATATTTTTAAATTATTTGTTGTATTTATTGAATAAAGTGTTTAATGTCCCTGTTCTTAAATTTAGACTAGTTTGCCTTTCACATATCTCTCCTCTCCCACTCCATCATTCCCAAAAAGTCTTTCTCAGTTGCTTTTTTAATTAGAGTGCAGATTTGGGGGGCGCCATATTTCTTTCCTGTCAGTGGTCTTATCTAGCAAAGGTTTTTCTTTTTGAAAGGGACATTTTAACCGAGTGCCCAGGTTTCTGATTTTACTAACTCTGGCTATATTAAAGAGGATCCACCAGTAGATGGCAGCAGAGTTTCAGGCATGTTTTCTGTCCACTTCGCTAGCTTTGGGGACAATAAAGGACAGTTTTGTCTTGGTTCTTTACACGTCTTGTAGATTCCTTGAGTTTGACTTTAACATCTGAAATCTAAACTGCCTACATTAACTTGACCATTATCAGCATTCACGTGGATCTGCTATAAATCTCATGTTTTTCAGTCACTGCCTTGATGCTGCCTCTAGGGGTTATCTGCTCAGTGGAGGATATCTTCAGGCCCTTCTTATTTCAATTGAGTGAATGTCCCAAGGCCAAGACCTTCCTCCACTAATAACTGTGGAGGAGTGAAGGTGCTGAGTTCACTTCTTTTCATGAACACCAGGTAGGGTCCAAGGTTAATGACTTAGCCCAGTGTGAAAAAACAAGCTTCACAAAGAACAATGTAAAAATGGGCCAAAGACTCAGAGAAAGTAGACAGCCACAGCTCAGCAGCAGATAGTTCTAAAGCTAGAGGAGGTAGAACAGGCCCAGCATTTTGCTTGGGGAAACAGAAACAAGAGGAAAGAAATGGTAGAAAGACCTTGAGAAATTAAGAGACCATAAGTGAAGAGGTTTCTAGCCCCCTCCAGTGCTACTGAGAGCTTACTCAACAGGCTGGTAGTACAAGGAGAATGGCAATCAGGCCCCAGGGCACTGGGCTCCAAAGGGAGAAAACCATCTTCCAAAGAAGGTACGTGCTGCTTCCTTCCAGTACCTCTAGGACTGGGCACATCGGCTCCGTGCAAAAGCCAGAACCAGGTTTCAGGACCCAGTCTTCTATACAAAAGGAAGACCTAAGAACAGCTTTGCTCCTAGGTATATAGCCTCTATTCTGGATGAAGCTGCTATGTACACAACTGACTCTCTAGGGGCTTCTAGCAGTGTGTCCCAGACTCCTAGCAACCCTATGTTTTATAGTGTAACGTGGCCCCAGAGACCTCAGCCAGTTGATCTGTCCTGATGTGCTGCAGCTTTTTTCCTGAGGAGCATGCATCATACCCCCCTAGTAGGTCAGGCTCTAGACTCAAAAGACAGTAGTGCTGGAAAGCTGGTCCTGGTACAGGAATAAAGAACAGACCAACCACACACTTTAAATCAGTTTATTGACAGTAACACAACACACTTGCCTCCCTGACACCCCCACCCCCCTCACCCAGACCAGATCTCTTCCTTTCCCTTTAGAACAAGCTGTTCCTTGACAAAGAAAAGGACAGGCCACCTCTACAACCCCAGTCCCATCCCTAAGCCCTATGGAGCAGGGTCTCAGGCACTATTCAGAACCTGTTAGAAGAGTGGGTTGAAGGGGTATGCAGTTAGCACTGTACTCAGCCAGGCAAAGGCATCCAGTCCTTAAGAACAGATTCTCCCCTTCAATCCCCCAGGCCCTGAGTTGCTATTCCTCTTCCTCTCTGCTCTTTGTGATCCAGGAAGGAGACATGCTGGGCCCCAGACCTGTAGCCAGTAGCAAGACCTCCTGTCCGTGATCTGAGAATTGGAGTTTGGCTAGTCTTTTTTAAGGCCCAGGCACCCCCCGCAAAAAAAGCCCTGGTGGTGGGAGTGAACTTCAATGCCCCTATTTAAAATGCACTGATAACACAAATGCCAGAGTAACACTAAGCTGTAAAGAAGGAAGGGTCAGACCTACTTTCTCCAGGCCAGACACAAATGCACAGAGAAGCCCAGGTGTATCAAAAAACAACTCAAGGACACTGATGCACAGGGGCTGAAAAGCCTATATTCAGGAGCCCCTGGGGTGACAGGAAGCAAGGAAAGAAAATACACAAGTCTTAAAAAAACAATAAAGAAAGCCCAACAGCTGGGGAGCCTGAGACTGACCGTACTACCCACCAGCCCTCCAGGCCTTGCCCCGGACCCAGATAGTCCCTCCCCGTCTAGGCAATGTCCTCCCCCTAGGCTAGATAGAGCACATCACACAGCGCAGTTTAAAAAGCATCTAATGCCAGTTCATAAACATCTTCATTTACTATTGGTGATTACATGTGAATAATATGTTTATACTGTTCTTTATGGAAAACAATTTCAACGAGTCACCTCCAAGAACACAATAGGCAACCCTCACCCTGAGCCCCTCAGTGTCCTTCTCTAGACAGCAAGGAGACCCCTCCTCTGTCCCAGGGCTGCCTAACTTCCCCTCTTTCCCCACTGTGGCTCTTGGGCAAAGCATCCTCTGACCATTAGTCCTCATCGGACAAGTTCTGGTCCAGTGGGTAAACCATGAACATCACATCTGGTCGAGAGGGTACACAGGGATGGCCTGGACGTACAATCTCAAAGCCCAAGAAGCTGAAGGTCTTCAGGAGTGGAGCTGCAGAAGATAAGAGTATAAAGAAGATTCTAATAAACACAAGAATAAGGTCAAATCAAGGAAAAACCCACGACAAAAAAATAAGTGCTAGGGCCCTGGCTGGTTTGGCTCAGGGGTTAGAGCATCCGCCCAGGGACCAAAGGGTCTCGGGTTCGATTTCTGGTCAAAGGCATGTACCTGAGTTACAGGTTCAATCCGTGGTTCTGATTGGGGTCATGCAGTAGACAATCAATGTGTCTCTCTCACAGAGATGTTTCTTTCCCTCCCTCCCAAAAAATAATCAATAGAAAAATCCTCGGGTGATGATTAACAAAAAAAATAAAGTAAGCCCTAGGGCTTGACTAAAGACCCTTTGGGCACTACCACCACCACCAATGATTGCCCAGATTTGTATGACAAACTCAAGGACCCCCGCGCCTCCTGGTGTCCCCTTTTCCCCTTCCCAGACCCCATTTTCTGAAAAGTAGGTCTCAGGCTGCTGGCTCCTCACCTCTGTCTTCCCGGCCCTTCCTGAAGCAGATGAAGACATAGTTCACTTTCATCTTCTCTTCAGCAAACTCTAGTAGTGCTAATAATCTACAATAAGGAAAGAAAACTCAGGCCCACTATCACCTCTCTAGACTTCCCACCCACCTACTCCCAAAAAAGGCTTTTCTGAGGCTTTTTAGCCACATTACAAACAAAGTTCAGGGAGGAGGTACATATTTAAAGACCTCAGGAGCTCTGAGTTCAGGAAAAAATAAGCCACAATCTTTTAGAAAACGTTATTGAATTATCTCTTCCTGGAGTAGGGATTCGTCTGAAATGAACACTGACCAGCCTAACTTATGCAGTTCACAAATGTGGGGCCTCGGAAGAGAACCCAGTTTTTCAGAGGCCTTCCCAGTAGCCAAGTTTGATAATGACTACCTTCCAGTGAGAGGGACTCAGGCCCTAACACTGCCAAAAAGGATTTCCTCAAGAGGTTGGAGCCACTCGAGAACTCCATACTCAGGACTGTTTCTCTAACACACCTGACAGCTTGAAGGGCCTCCCAATCCAATGAAATCCCACAGGATCTCTGAGTTTCCTAGCCTTTGAACTGCACCACTGTATGGTGGCTCAAGGAGGATTTAATGTCTCCTGGGAAGAGTGAAGCATGGGGTGATTAATGACAGAGATTTGGTTAAGATGGTAATGATCAGCTTTAATTATAACCTAGAGCAGGTCTGTTTTACTGGCTAAAAATAACCTGTTTCCAAATGATATCTGCTTGGGAGGCCTAGAGCTAGGGAAGAAGGTAGGATCCCTAACTGCTCTGTTCTCCCCTGTAAGCATATGCCTTTGGAATAGGACCTCTTTCCCTATTTGCTCCTTCCCTTTCCCCAGCCCTTGCTCCTTACCCTTCTTTGCTCCCATCAGCTAATAATCCATCTGGGATTTCTACAAACAGGCTCTGGCTGGACAGGACTGCATCCCAAGAAGAGACCTTCACCTCGGTGACCTCATACTGGAAGTGGACGATGTGAGGTTTTCCATCGTTCACCGGGAGGTCCTGGGTCACAGTGAGCTTCTCGTCCTGGGAGGAGATTAGTCAGGGGACCATGTCACTACTGGCCCTATCGTAGGCCCTCTAACCTGGGTGGTGCTGAGAGTCCCCTGTGGTCAATCTCAGGATAGCATGGGATAGAGGGCACATTGAAAATATAGAGCCGCATGCTGGCTAAGTAGAGCTGTCATTCATTGGGCACTAAGAATAGTTGATGTTGGCTAAAAGCCAGGGTGATGGGAAGGGAAATATTTACCAAGTGCCCACTAGATGCCAAATACTGTGCAAAGTGCTTTCCCATTAGCCACAATAAGCACTTGAGGTAGGCATTTATATCCCCATTTTAAATCTGAGCTACTAGGGGCCCAGAACAATTAAGAAACTGACCCAAGCTCCACAGCTAGTAAATGGCACAGTTGAGATTTAAACCAGGTCCCTCTGACTCAGAGTCCATGCTTGTCCCCCCAATACCATACTCTTTTCCTTCCCTCTGAAAGAGTAACATTAGAAACAAACATATGTGAGGCTTGACTGAGGCCCAGATCAACCAAAGCTTATTTCCATGTGGACTACAGGGTCCATGTTGTGTCTCCTGCCACAATCTCAAGAGACCAGAACTCAGCTGCCTTGCTACCCTTTAATACCATCAGGCAGGAGCTAAACCAACTTCTGGGCCTCAATGACAGGAGATTAAAAGCCAGCAAAGCTGGCTGCCCCAGCCCAGATCATTCCCAGGCAGATTCTCGGGGTTCTCTACAGCCCCAGGGCTGTGCCATATGCTACCAGGGTAATAGGTGATTGAGATGCAAGGCCCCCTCTCCTTACCACTCACCTCCACACTACCCTACCACCACCACCACCTTCCAAAGCAGGCTGGTAAGGGACAAAAGTCAGAATGCGATCTGGCTCCTCCTGCTCCTTGGTATTTCTCAAGAGAAACTAAGGAAGGAGTAGCACCACAAAGAGTTTTGCACCCTTCCCACTCCAGATCCTGAACCGTCACTAAAGTGCTGACCACCATAGCTGAGAAGATGGCAGGGAGTTTGCTTGATGCTGACATCCTTCTAGTACTCCCCTAAAGCCACATGGCAGTTGAAAGAGTCCTTCCCATTCCCCCTACTGGCCTGGCCTCAGTCAGAAGACTAAGGGAAATGATTACTGCCCTTAAGCAGCAGTGCACTGGAGTGTGAGAAGGTTCTGCTCAAGCCTTCTGCCCCAGTGTTCTCCTTACCTTATATATTAGAGCTGAGAGAGAAGGATCCCTGCCGCCCCCTCGCCCACCGGGGATCTTCGACAGTGGGTGAGGGGCATCAGGAGCACCACAGAGGCCCTGGAACAATGTGCCTGCAGCACTGGAGCTGGGGACAGTTACTCAAAGGCAAAATACTACTGCAAGAGATAGAGAAGGTGAGACAGTGAACATCAAGACTTTTAAGATTTAATTCAACATCCCATCCCAACCCCCACCCTGGTTCTCCCTCAACAGCTGCTCTAAGGCTATACCACTGGGCCAGTCCTTTTAGCTTCAACTTTCAGAGCTACTGCTCTTAAAGGGCAGGAACCCACCATGCTGCAGAGGCAGAGGGAGTCCAGCTAGATATGGGACCAGAGGAGCACCTGTCAAACACCAAACAAATCTCTGGTGCTGGCAGACCTTGGGGGGAACCAGATCCTGGCTTGCCTGGTAGGCCTAGAGCCCTGTACCCTCTAGCAGTCCTTTTCCTTACCCCAACAGTGTCTCAGCAACCTATGTGGCAAAATCACAAAGCCTACACAATCACTTCAGGCTGGAGAGGCATATAGGCCTCAGGAAGTCACATGGGCTGGGTACTGTGTCCCCGAGGAACTCCCAAGTCCACTTTTCCAACAATGGCCTCCTCCCTGATCTAACAGAGTAACTGGACAGAAATCACTTACCCAAATCCATCTAGGGTTGATAACTGAATTAAATCCAGGGATTTGGCTCCCAGCAAGGAGATGTACTATAGTACAGAGTATTATGGTATCTTAAATATTAGGTATTTTGGTGTGCCACCAAATGCTGGGCTTCCTTGCCCTTCTTTGCTAGAATGTGACCTGGGCATGGGAGTTTAGGTACTATTGCCACGGTCAAAATGGACACTCAAGTGTGTATGTATTGGCAGTTGGGGGTTGCTGGAAGGAGATATACATGCTGGAAGCCAATACTCATCTCCAGGTATGTGCCCTTACTGGCCACCATGATTTTTAGGTGGACCCAACAGAGTTCCAAATTTGCTCCAATGCCTTCTTTGAATCCAATGTAATGACTCCTTAGGCTGAGATGTAGCCCACTCCACAGGCCATGGGCAAGTGAAGCAATGAAAGAGGTAAATTGTCTGTACATGTACACCATGACTCAGCCAACTCACCTGCCTGTGCACATCTCTTCCCAACTGGGTGTTTAATGATGTCATGTTGGTAGTTATAGGGAAATATTTACACCCCAGAAATAAGCAAATGCTATAAATCAAGGCTTTTTTCCCCCTGAAAACCAGTTGTAAAATAACATGAAGCACCATTCTTCACACTGTCCTTTGCTTTATATGGCACTGCATGCCAGATCAGGGTTTTTCACTTAGGCTCAGAGCAACAGAACTGATATCACACCTAACCTGGCAATGGTACAATAACCAAAGGGGCAGCCCACTGAGACCCTCAGTTCTAAGAGACCAGCTCAGACAGGAAGTCTAAATCTATCATTACTCTAGCTTGGCTCCACTTTTCTCAAGGATTTCAACAGGAGGCCTAAAATTATACTTGGAAATTTTGTTGGGAGATGGCATTCCCAGGGCCCGTGTTAGTGGGAGAAAAACATCAATACCTGAGGGTGATAACCACATGCACCTCCTCCTGCCTCCTCTGAAAAGCCTCAGGGCATTCTCATCTCCTCCACTTGGCCTCACCAAGAGATACTAAGAGAAAGGGCATGACTGAGGACTGTTACTGTTTTCAAGGATAGGATTTATTTTCTACTAGGGACAATGAGTTGTTATAATCCCCCCTCCCAGTGTATTAAGGAATAGAATAGAGTCTTCAGGTTGGAAGTAAAAAGACAAAGTTGGGGGTTTCCCCAAGCAACAGCACACACACATCCCACATGAGATGGTTCCCTTCCTATTTCCTAGTGACCACTTTGGGCCTCTGGAGAAAACGTGGCTTGCTTGTATTGGCCAGTGGAGCTACCAAGTACTAGGCAAACAACCCCTGGGGTAGCCAGATGAGACACATCCTCGTGTACCAGATATGCATGGGTTCACAAAACCAGATCACGTGCAATTCTAGAATTCTGCTGCTAGCTCACTTGACTTCACATTCCTACTTCCAGAGAAATTATTCCTCAATGATCTTTAGATGGTAGAGCTACATTCAACCCCCTGACCTGCATTCCAACCACCATCTTGATTCTGAGCTCATTTTTACTTGCAAATGGTAGAGACAATGGGACCAGCCCACTGAAAAGATCAGAATAAGGTGGGTTTTCCTTTTTTTAGATTCAGAATCCCCTTTGTCTTCCTAGAAAGATTCCCTAGAGCCTGCCCTGTATCCAGCACTAATGTATGAATTCATGGTATGTGTGGTATCCTGATCTCACTCCTCTTCAAATAAATGCAATAAGTATATTCCATGGTAACAAATCATTTACTTCCCCAATCACACAAGGATCTGGGAACTCTTTCCTCCTCCCCCACAACGTCTACAGAGAAAGCAAGTGTGTACGTAAGTAGGGGTGGAAGGGTGTTTCAGGTCCCCACGGTGGTATTCATTTCCAGTTCCAGAAGAGAAACAGCTAGGGTTTGGGATAAGCTTAGTAGATAGGAGATCACAATTATCTTCACCTTCCATCATAATTGCTGTGAATGGAAAAGGTTTTTTACCTGATCTTCATTTCTGAAGTGAGAAAGGAAAGGAGATAGTACAAATGTGGTGGTTAAAAAAATTGAGGAGGACCCTGGCCAGTTTGGCTCAGTGGTTAGAGGTCGGCCTGCAGTCCAGAGAGACCTGGGTTTGGTTCCCGCTAAGGGCACGTACCTCGGTTGCAGTTTGTCCCCAGCCCTGGTTGGGTCGTGCAGGTGGCAACCACTCGATGTGTCCCTTTCACGTCGATGTTTCTCTCTCTCTCTCCCTCCCACTCTATCTGAACAAAATATGAAAAAATGTCCTCGGGTGAGGATTAAAAAAAAAAATTAAGGGGCATAAAATTGCATAGCAAAGGCCTTCTCTTCTTGTACTGACTTTAGTGTTCAAATGGTACTGTGGCAAAATATGCCACCAAACTCAAAAGAAAAAGTAGATCCTAGAGGAACTTAAGCATAAGAGAAAGTGGTTTCTAAACACAAGTTTTCCTGTTACAAGATCCAAACCAGGTTAGATTTCATATTCAGTTCGGTCGTGTTTCTACTGGTTCCAATGCCCAGCTTTTTCCACTCCTTCCTCATGTCCTGCTCACTCCACTGGGGGGAGGGGGGGCAGGACTGGTTTAATCTCTATTATCGAAAGGATGATTTAACAAACTCAATCTAGAGGCTGAAAAGACCATGGCTGATTAAGGAGAATCAAATGTATCAGGCTGAACCCAAACATTCAGCGGGGCTGGTCCCGCTTTTAGAGAAGAAAAATATATACCATGCTGGAAATGAGGGCATCAGGTATCCAAGTCAATTCAGAAGAGAGATAGGAGACTAGAGCTGATCTCTTAGTGCCTTTTATTTTCTAGGTTATTATAGGACAGGCCCTTGGCAACACTCCTGAGGATACATATGAGTGCTACCAACACATAATACCCTGCTGCCTCTAATTTAAAGCATTCTGTGACTATTGTCTGAAACATCCTTAGCAAGTTATAATGTCACACACTGGCTACAGATAGGCAGTATATGGAGCAGATGTATTCCTGGGGAATGTTGCTGATAAATCAAATTTTTATCATTCAAATCCTATTTTTAAACCTCTAGGGTGCTTACTATTTAAAGAAAGTAACCCTAAATCTCTTTATAAAGTAAAGGCTCTCCTGTCAAAAATCACTTCCAGTTGGCTATGTCAGTTTTTTTGTTTTGATTTTTAGAGAGGGAAGGGGAGAAAGAGAGAGAAACATCAATGTGATATGAATACATTCATAGGTTGCTTCCTGCATGTGCCCTGACCAGGGATTGAACCCACAACCTTCCAGTGAACAGAAGAACACTCCAACCAACTGAGCCACACCGGCCAGTTTTGATTTTTATATTTACTCAAAGCAGGGTACAGCCTGCTACACAAGAGATTTAATATAAAAGTAATTCTGCAGCTAACTTGTATTCAGCTAAATCTAACAAATACTTGAATTCATATTCTACTTCCTTTACTTTTAATCTTGTTTTACTTGAATCAGTGGCTTGAGTTTGTTCAAGTCTGCACTCATTCTCTCTGGCTTCTATTACATGTCAGATGGCCTTGGTATTACTACCCTGTGGTATCAAGTGAAAAGACGTAAAAGTCACATTCCCAAACATTCTGCATTCATTCTTCCCCTTCATCCTCTTCTGACCCATTCCTGTCTCTGGCCCTGCCTCTTAGAACCCTCACACAAGCTGCTATTACTCTGAGACTTGGAAGGTCTCTGATGACTAGTCCCTATGCAAAGAGGGACCAATCCAGGACTGCCATCACACTTAGCTAAAAAGAAATATGCACAGTCTAGTGTGCATACAGAGGCTGATTTCCAGCTGCTGATCCCTTTCCATATGAGAAAGAGGCCCTGGTCAAATGCCAGGCACAAGTCATTTCACTAGGGCTGTTCTGTGTGCCAAAGGGAGTCTACTTGCTAAGCACGATTTTAAAGAAAATAACATCACCACTCTGAATCAGACTGAAATCAAAACTGGATTTTGATTGATTCTCCAGAAGAAACACAGTGACAGCCAGAATATGTGTCTCTGAGGTCTGCTTATCTTATTACACAGATGATACTCCTACGTCTTCTACCAAAGGTAGGCACAACTACATATGCTATCAGAGGATAGCTAGGTAATCATGCTTTAACATAAGACCTTAAGTTTACATTTTAAGTACCTCAATCTAGTTTGTATAGTCAAGTCACCCAGTTCTAGCCTCTTCCTAGGATAGAATCACTTCACTGTTTATATAGTATAAAAGGCCTAGGCAACTTTCTTAAGGCTTAGCTTATACAGAGCATTTTTTTTTATCCTCACCTGATGACATTTCTTTGCATTTATCTTCAGACCGGAAGAGGGGGGGGGGGCATCAACCGGCTGCCACCCACATGACCCCAACCAGGGACGAACCTCAACCGAGGTACGCACCCTTAGCAGGAACCGAACCCGGGATTCTCTGGTCCAAGGGCCAACACTCCAATCGCTGAGCCAAACCGGCCAGGGCTTATACAGAACATTTTATTCTGCTGCTAACAGGAAACTACCTGTTTTGTTCACTTCGAGTAACAAACTTCTTGCCCACCTACTTGGTCATTTCTGGACTACAGTTTTCAATTAGGTTTCATAGCCTTCCAAATCATGGCACCAACTGGAATCAACACTGCATACTGTTTCAAAAAGGAATGAATTACTTTTTTTCCCCCCAGAAACACACATACGTAACATCATCCCTCTACCCCAATCCTCAGTCCCCTTTTTTCTATTTCTGAGCAGCTCTGAGGCTAAATTTGGATTTCTTGGCAGAGTGAGGAATTACTATTATTAGTTCATAATGCTTTCTGAAGCATAGCTCCAATTTGGGGGGATTCCTGACTATACTAGGAGTCTCAGTCTCCCTCCCTCCCTCCCCCCCCCCCACGGTCTCTGAGGTGACCTTGAAAGCACATACAGGAAAACTTGCTGTCCCTACCACCCCATATCCAACAAGCATAGTACCAATAAATAAGGAATAACTACACCAAATTATTTGTGAGGGAGAAACAAATTCCATTACTCAGGGGATTCAGTAAGACGCTCAAGGAAGCTCTGATGTGCTCTTGTACCCTTTCCACCCCCCAGAAAAACCACCTGTAGAACCAAATGCTTCTCAAAGGCCATCAGACACAGACTGATTACATTATGGATATCAAGCCAGGGCAAGCTCTTCTCCACATACTATGCTGTCACAGGTACTAAGCAAGACCTAGACAGAGACTATCTTCCCACCCCCGCAAATCCAGGAAGAGAAAGGCTATGAAGCTTAATTTCCACGGATTTAAACCTCATGTTCAAAAACTGTAATAAAAGTGCTTGTACTTGTGTCTTCTTCCTTCCTCCACCCATCAGGAATTTTGACATTCTGGAGGTACTAATCAGAACAAAACTGGAAAGGAAGAGCCTTGTTTTCAAAACATACTGCCGGCTCCTCTGCAACTATTTCTTCCAGGAAACCAAGCCTCCATCCACCTCTTGAGTATTTCACTGGAGCCAGGGAAGCTGGAAAGCCCATCCCCCCACACCCAATGGGAGCTAAACTCTCAGCCAGCTTCCCCCTCTGCAGATACAAAACACCAAGAACACTGACTGGGAAGAACATCCGGCTCTTATCAGAATCCCTAGTTAAGGCTCTACCAGGATTCCTTTTAGAAAAGTTAGACGCAGGCCAGAGGAGGCTGGGAAACATTCTATGGAAACAGGATTGCCATAACTCAAAGAAACCAGACACCCTGTACACACCACCCCACCCCCAGGCCAAAGTGGAGGAGCCTGATCCAAGGCCTTGTCTGGCCCAGGCCCTGGCAGGCCAGCTGGCTCCTCCCTCCACCTGCCTGTCATACAGCCAAGCCCCTCAAATTACCAACACACTAAGCAAGGGCCCCGGAAAAAAGCAAGCCTGTTTTGCCACTTAGGATGCTGGAAGGATCTCCAAGTTAAGCGAACCCAACCCCCTCTTTTTACATGTAAGCACACTGGCTAAGCCAGAACTAAAACCCAGGTCTCTCAACTTCACAGTCAGTGAAGACCCTTATGTGCTGGTCCCAAGTGCTCATCTCTCTGGGCTCAGCCTGCATAGGACTTGGCACAGAGACCAGCTCAGTCCCGAAGACTCCAAAGAATGTCTGCTGAGACCACACCACCTTCAAAACCCCAAACCCAGGCAAAAACATAAAGACTAGCAAAGAAGGTTATCCTGCAGGTTCCTCTGCTTCCCTCCACCTCTGTGCTTCATTCTGGCTTCTCATATCTGTCTATCCCCAGAACATACACAGCCTTCCCTCCTCTACTACAAGTAATATCTTTTGCATCCAGTACCATCCAAGTATACATCCACTACCACCTCCTCAGCTCCAGAAGGGCTGGGTTAGAGAAGATGGAATAAAAGAAGGGACTGCAAAGGGAGATGGACATGGAGAATCTCGGAGAAGAAAAATATAACAGCAGAATGGGACTGTAGGTAGAAGACTCGAGAAGTGGAGTAATGGGTCAAATTGGACCATAAAAAAAAAAAGTGAATTTTCTTTCTGCATGTGGGGAATAGAAGTGTGGGGGCTAGATAAGAGTTTGAGAATTGAGCAACTAGCGGTAGAAGAATTTAAAAGGCTGTTGCATTTCATTTCCATATAGTACCTGAGAGAGAAAGACTAAGAAAATCCCTGCAATCAAGACCCTTTTCAGTAAAGAAAGGGCTGACACCCACAAAAGAAATACAATGGGAAGGGTCTTCTGGGAGGGGGGGGGACAGTGTTTCTCCACCTTGGCTGCACATTAGAATTACACAGGGAGCTTTAAAAATATATGCTAATAACCAGGCCCCACCCTATGCCAATTACACCAGATCTTTGAGGTAGGGCCCAGGTGATTGATTTTTCAAATGTGCAGCCAGAGTTAAGAAACACCGAGATACAAGAAAAGTTGAAGACCAAACTGGACTATTTAAGGATGGTGTTGCTAAAGGAGTGGGAAATGGCAGGTTCGAGGCCATTTTACTGAGAAAGGGACACAAGTTTGAGAGAAATCTTGAGTGGTAATTAGAGCCCTATGTGAAGAAAAGCAATAAGGAAGGCTATGTTTGTAAGAGGAACTAAAGTCTAGTTTGGACAAACCAAGGCACAATTTAAGGAGAATTTGCAGGGAATGGCTCTTGCAAAACAATGAGGCCCAAGTGAGGGCCAGAGGCCATAAGGCCAAATCTGGGGACAAAGGAGCTGGTGTGGGGAACTAATGAGCTTCCGACTCATTTTGGAGTGAGCAGCACAAGTCTAGGGGGGAAAGGAGGAAGACAATTAGACCCAAACTGTCAATGAAAGCCATTCTGACTTCCAAGAAGCAACTGGTGTTAAAAATTGTGGGGAATCAGGAAATTATGGAACAGTTTCAAAGAAGAGTGTGGGGCAAAAAGAGAAGAGGTAGAGAGGAAAATTGAATGATAAATTCTGCCTCGTTTGAGCAGGAGGAAGTATGTATGATGCAAGTTTAGAAAACCACTGGTGCTGTTTCAGAAAGATGTAGAGACTTCCTCTCCAATTAATAAGAGAAGGCAGGGTCAGGTTTTGAAGGAGTAAACTTGCAAAAGCCCAGTGTCCAGAGTATGGAGGCAATGGAGGTAGGGAGAGGATAAGCCTTCGATCAGAGGATAAGCCTTCTGTGATCTACTGATTTAAAGATGGGGTTAGTTAAGATGGGAGGAGTAAAAGTAGAGCTCCAGGTGAGAGTGTTTAAAGGGCAGGCCTGGTTTGGGTGAACCCCATTAGGGGCATAGGATGGAAGACAGGGGTCAAGTCCAAAGTGTTGGAGAAATGAATGAGGTTGGGAGACAGGAAAAACGGGGCCTAATTGGGAAAGGGGTATAGAGGGAAGAAGGGAAAAGATGAAGCTGAACTGAGGGACTTAGAGGAGGGCTGGACATCATTGTAAAAACTATTAGGCCTGCGGGAAGCGAGGGGTGATGGTGGCGGGGTTCGAGGATGAGTCCAGCTGAGAACTGAAGGATGGAGCCTGACTTGGGGGTGAGAGGGGGAGACAGTGATAAGACACAGGTCTGGCTGCGGGGTGCGGTTTGAATTAGGGAAGAGATACAAAGAATAAGGTTAAGTGACTTAAAGAGGGAAGGAAGAAAGATTTGGAGAAGATGGAAACAATTTGGAGAACCTGGTTGAAGGGAAAACCCACTGTGGGGAATAGGGCACCGTTCAGCGGAGCTGAAAGAAAATGGGGACTTGACTGGAAGATTGAGTCCGGGTTGTTGGGGCTTTACAGGGGAGGAGGCCCGGATGAGGGGGATGGGCAAGGCTGGCGGGAGGGGGCTAAAGGACGGAGGCCCCGTTGCAGGAGTGGGGCTCGGACTGGGGTGGCTGAAGTGAGGAAGGGTCCAAGTGCGGGACGGATGGGACCCCGCAAGGGGGGGGGGGTCAGGGACCGGTTGGTTGGTGGGGGAGGAGTCCCTCTGGAGCAGATGAGGGGAGGATGGGGGCGGGGAGCCTGGGCTGGGCCGTTACCTGTCCTGGGTGTTTATCATCCTCGGCGGCTCTGCTCAGGGTGGGAGGAGGCGGCGCAGGGAGTGGGTAGGTGGATGAGTGGGTGAGTGTGGGGTCGCGCGCGCGGGGCCGATCTCTGCGGGATAAGTCCCTGTCAGGCCGCGGGCTCAGAGCCCTCCTCCTGCCTCAGCGAGCGCCTGCCTCCAACTGACCCTCCCCGGCCGCCGCCGACGCCGCCGCAACCGCCCCGCCCCCATGTGCTTCATCTGCATAGCCCCACCCCAGCGCCGCGCGGTGTCCTGGGAAACTGGGGCCCACAACAAAGGGCAAAGAACCGCCCCGCCTCCACGCAGGCGCATCAGGGGCCGGTAGCAGGACGTGGGGTGGGGTGGGGTGGGGTGGGGTGGGGTGGGGTGGGGTGGGGTGAGGTGGGGTGAGGTGGGGTGAGGTGGGATGGGAGTCTGGATGAAAAGAGGGTGTCGGGGATGCGCTGCCCAAAAGATGCGTTGTATTTCAAGTACAGTCTTCTAAGGTTGGACCTGGACCTAGACTCCTTGCTTGCGTGGAGCCAAGCAGGGCTGTGTCATTTGTAGGTTTGGGGAGGATATTTATTAAAACAAACTCTGAATTCTAAGAGTCCTAGGCACATGATTAGTACTATTACCAGACTGAGCCCAGGCCACAGATCTCGTGTACCTCAATAGCCTCAGCTGTCAACTGAGATCAATCTCTGCACCTTGAAGACATATCTCAGATCAATGGTCAAAGCCTGACACTGGCTGGTGGTCATCTGAAGCCAGAATCACAGTCAGGATCACAGTCACGACAGCAGTAGTGGAAGGCACCCTCAGAACTTGTTCACAGTCACTTTAGATCACAATCACACAAGGTTACTTGTTCACAGTCACCTCCTTTCATTATCCCTGTGGTCCTTATCACAAGTGCAGGGACCTCTCAGATCACAATCATTGCAGGCCATAATCAAAGGCACTTCAACACAATCATCAAAACTCCCTACTCTGTTCATAGTCAATCCAGATTGTAAACAAGAGAGATTACATTATCTTAAATCACAATGGAGCATTGTCACCTCAGATCCCATTCATTTATTCAACAAATCACTATTGAGCAGCTCCTTACTATGTGCTCCAGGCATGTGCTAGAGTCCAGGAATACTCAAAGATCATCAACTAGGTAAAGTTCCTGCCTCAGATGTTATGATCTGGCCAGAAGGAGAGACACAGAAAGGCTCCATCTGAGGGAGGCCATAGAGAAAGTAATCAGGGAATTGGGGATGGTTTATAGAAAGGGTGATCAGAGATCACTATGACCCCCAGTTTGTAACAGCCCAAATCACAAATGTGCCACATTAAAACCACCTTAGGGCACCATTACTCTACTTGACAAACAACATGCTTTTGAATTTTAAATGATGGAGATGCAAAGATGAAAGAAAGTTTAGAGCTGCCAAACTAAAGCTTTTCCAGCAAAAATGGAAAGTGGTAAATTATACCAGAAATGCCCAAATTATCACTAGGTATTTATCACTGGTCCCATACTCTGAATCAATTTAGATCCTCCACCTTGTCCTCTTTGGGTATCCCTACCTGCTCTTCCAAGTTCAAGGTAAGAATGTTCTTCCGTTAGTAAACAGCAGAATTGAACAATTAAATTCGGCCCTGATCCACCCCATCTCACAGTCCCAGACACCTGGGCAATTTCCCTGGCCCTCAAAGGCAGGTGGGATGGCTCATTTCTGCCAACCCATCTCTAGACAAGTAATCTTGTGGCCTGAAGAACAGTTTTTGACCAATCAATCAGCAATTATTGAGAACTAAACTACGTCAATAATAGTGACTATTTATTGAGCATCATGCTAAAGCACTAGTCTTTACAACAGCTCCCCACTCCCATTTTGCAGATGAAAAGAATGAAAAATCGGGGAGATTGTACCAATAAATTAATTTATTTGCTCTGATTCAAAAGGTAGTAAGTGGTAGAGTTAGAATTTGGACCCAGAGTTGCCCAATCCTGTGCTTTGTCTGGACTTACATGGTAAACAAGTGAGAAGGTCATTGCCACAGCTTGCTGTCTGAAGCAGTGACCACCCTGATGGCCACCTGGCAAGCAAGTGAAAAAAATGGGGAGCCACCTTCCTCTAACCTGTGCTGTCCAGTATGACAGCCACTAGCCACATGTGGCTATTTAAATTTAAATTAATTAAAATAAAGCTAAAAATTCAGTTCCTCAGTCCCATTAGCCACACTTCATATGCTTAATCGCCACATGTGGCGAGTGGTTATAGTATTGCACAGTGAATATTTTCCATCAACACAGAAAGTTCTGAACAACACTATACCCATTATTCCCCTATCCCTATTTATTTCATTCATTAACACAGGTTTGAGTTCTGTCTCATCCATTATCAACAAATTATTACTGAGCAGCAACTTACTATGTGTTCCAGGCATGTGCTAAAGTCCAGGAGTATCTCCATCCTTGTCCTTACACTGGCAATATGCCTGCCCAGCTCTCTGCCCCCAGCCACATACTTCCCTTCTGGCCTCTGCAACCTGTGATCAGCAAATTCTTCCTTATCCTCAGCATTTTCTTGGGATATTGCCTTCATTTCTTGCCTGACCTGAAACCTGGCTATCCCCTATGGACATTGCTTCTTGAGCAGCCCTAATAGTTGAATGCTATTTTCCTCTCATTCTCAAGTACCTCAGGGTCAGGAAGTGGGTATGTATGTTCCTCTCCCACTCCCAATATCTTTTCTAAACCCTTCCCTCCTACAGTGCTTCCCCTCCTTCCTACAAAACCTTCATTTTGACCCTTGGCTCACTGCCTCTCTCCACCCTAAATTTTGTTGTTGTTTTTTGTTTTTTGTGAGCTCAGCATCTATATGATGGTCTCTCCAACATCCTCCTCTCACTTCCTTGACCTCATGCCAGTGATATTTTCCACACGCCAGCAGCTGCCTGCTCTTGTAGTCACACCCTCTACTTTGTTTTCACCAAAACCATACTGCTTCTTTATGTAGATTCTCTGACCATACTTTTTTTTTATTTTTAAAATTTATTTCAGAGAGAGAAAGAGAGAGAAACATCAATTTGTTGCTCCACTTATTTATGCATTCATTGGTTGCTTCTTGTATGTGCCTGACTGGGGATCGAACCTGCAATCTTGGCATATTGGGATGACACTCTAACTGATTGAGCTACCCAGTCAGGGCAGCCTTTTTCTTAATTAAGCCTCCCTCAGACATTCTTTGACCCTTCTCATGAGCTCCCATCCCTTGACCTCACTAATTTGTCACTATTCATTGGCCCTAGTTTTTATATTTCTCCCTTTTAGCTTCATTTCCACCATTCTCTTGCCCCATCTCCTCTCTTGGTGCTTGCTTGGCAAACCCCTACTCTGGATAAACCCATTGTCTACCTTCTCAGTGCTTTTTGCTAGAGCAAAATCACACCAGCAGGCAGATTATCTTCATTCCATGTTCACCATCCTACCCTCAAATGGGTCTCAACAGTGCCTGGGAATTCCTGCTACATTTCTCAATAAGTTTGCTTTTACACTCTCTGTTCTTTCTCTGCAAAACCTCTAACCATCTCATCTTAACTGATGACCTAGCCTCATACTTTTTTATTTTTAATTGATTTTTAGAGAGAGAGAGAGGAAGGGAGAGAGAGTTAGAAATACCAATGTGAGAAACATCGATTGGCTACCTCCAGCATGCCCCTCACTGGGGATCAAGCCTGGGACCCAGGCATGTGCCCTGACCAGAAATCAAACTGGCAACCTTTTGGTGCACTGGGATGACGCCCAACCAACTGAGCAACACTGGCCAGGGCTAGCCTCATACTTATTTCCCCCTGGTTTTATTGAGATATAATTGACACATAATATCATATTAGTTTTAAGTGTACACCATGATAATTGGATGAATGTATATATCCCTACCTTCTTATGTCCCTGAGGAAATAGAAGCAAAGAGGAGCTTTCTTTTATTCCTCACACAGCCTGCAAACTTATCTGCCTCTCCACCCACCTATAGCTCTCCCTTCCCAGAATCTGAGAAGTACCCCTGCTGCTTTACAAAAAACCAGCTAATCCCTCCACAGGAGCTAAGGGGCCAATCCCCTCTCCTCTTTTCAAGAACCTGGCTTCTACAATCTAATGTTTTCTTTCAGCACACAAATACTCTCCCATCCTTAAAAAATAACACAGCCATTCTGAAAAAAGTTTGGCAGTTTCTTAGAAAACTAACCATGCAACCACTAGATGACCCAGGAATTACACTCCTAGGCGTTTATCCCAAAGAATGAAAATTATGTTCATGTAAAAAACAAAACAACAAAAAACCTTATGCCCTGTTCAGTTTGGCTCAGCAGTTAGAGCATTGCATTGGCCTGCAGACTGAAGGGTCGTGGGTTTGATTCCTGGTCAAGGGCAGGTACCTGGGTTGCAGGTTTGATCCCCAGCCCCTTTGGGGTCATGTGGGAAGCAATCAATCGATATGTCTCTCGCATATAAATTTTTCTTTCTCTCCCTCCCTCCCAGTCTCTCTAAAAATCAATGGAAAAAATAATCTCAGGTGAGGATTAACAAAAAACAACAACAACAATAAAAACACTTATGCATGTATGTTCATAGCAGCTATATTCATAATAGCCAAAAAGTAGAATCAGCCCAGATGTCCTTCAGCAGGTGAATGGTTAAACAAACTGTGGTACATGCATACCATGGAATACAACTCAGCACTTTTCAATTTAATTTTTTATTTAAAAAATAATATGTATAATGTGATAAGTTTGCATTTAGGTAAAATCACATATATAAATACAATAATAACATACTCAGCAACAACAAAAAATATATATATGAGTTTAGCTACAGGGCAGAAGAGTATTCTTGTCCTTAGGCACTGCTCTTGCGAGTATGAAAGTGACAAGCTCCAGGGAACAAAACAGGCAAGTATGAAAAGAATATGTAATAAAAGGTAAGATAGAGGCTGGACGGGTAATCAGTGGACCTTGTTTAGGAATTCAGTGTCCACAGGATCCTATTCAAAAAGCTCTGTGATGCCATGTGGTTCAGGCAAATCTGAGCTTGGGCACTGGCTGGCTGTATGACTTTGGACTAGTCATATGGCTACTGAGGGCCTATTTCCTCCTCAGTGAAAAACAAGGATCATGGCACCTGTCC